GGGGAAAACCAGCCCTGTCCCAGCCCAGCCGGGACAGGCTGCTGCGATGGGAAAAACAAGACTTTGAAAAGCCAAAAAAGTTCCACTTGAAATAGCAAGGAGTTTATGTGTTGGCTTTTGCTTGGTGCAAAAATAACACTTGTTTAAATGGTTCACATGCTTCAACTAAGTTTCGTCAATGAGCTGTTGCCATAAAGACACAACTGAAATTTAGTTAAAATAGACTGGATAAAGTGGTTGCATTTTTGCAGAACTACTGGGAGTGTTACTTAGCAAGCAAATAACATTTTATGTAAAACCAGAAAGGGTCAATATTTAAAAAGTTTCATTTGGAATAAGTTTTGCATTTCATGAAAACAAACTACGCGTTTGTTTTTATATCTTCACACAGGATGACAGTGATGTAGAATGGAAGTTTGCTCGCTCTAAACTTTGGTTATCGTATTTTGATGATGGAAAAACATTACCTCCACCATTCAGTCTTGTACCAAGCCCCAAATCTTTTTTCTATTTCATCATGAGGATCATTAACTTTTCTAAGTGCAGGAGGAGACGACTACAGAAGGACATTGAAATGGGAATGGGAAATTCCAAATCTAGGGTAGGTGCTGAAATCTTTTCTTTCAGTGAAGAATCATATGTTCATTCCAGCATTCTGCTTTTCTTAAAGTTTTAGGGTATAATTTGTGATGATAGTAATTAGTCAAGTGTTATATTCATAGACCTGTATTTCAGACTGGCTAAATATACTGCATAAAACAAACAAAAAGCTATACATTTTCTTGGGATAACAAGATCCAATCACTGGAAAAACACAATTAAAACTGAGTATTTGAAGATGCAAATAATTTGCACAAGGAATTGCCTAAATATTTAATAAAGTTGTCTTTAGGCTCCATCAGAAAGATTTTTAGGGCAGGGTAAAAAAAAAAAAAAAAGGGTAGGGGAAAGACAAGGGGAGAAAAATTTTCCTTTCACTAGGACAGTAAAAGGATAAAGTGTGGTCAGTATGATGTTCACTTCCTGCTGCCAGAAGCTGTTGACAACAGAAGACAACAGGAAAGAGAGGGGATTGGTAATAAAGATCTTCAGCACTTCCATGACGTTCTAAATTTGGGTATCTAAATATTCTTTACAAATATTATTGGGGTGCAGTGTCACAATGCCCCTGTGAGCATTAGATAACAATTCCTCTCGTTTTACTGTTGGGAAACTGGGGCACGGATGGCTTCAAGAGGATATGTGTGGCTTTTTTATATGTTAGGCTCAAGGCCCTGTGTATTACAAAGGCTGAAAGCAATACCTTGAAAATAGTTACTTGCTCTACTGCAAATTATCAGAAATGTCAAATCTAGTCATCTTTTGGAACAATCTCACTGAAGCCTAGGACTTCTGAGCTGCTGATGGTACTCAATCTTCAGTAAAGAAAGTATTTTCTCCATTTTTTTGCAGGCAGTGAAAGCAGCTACATGTTGATAAAAATGTCAATTTATATCAGTGTAACTAGAAGCTTTTTTTGTGCTACTAACTGCTCAGGTTTTGCTTTCTAGTGCTCCAAGCGCCTCAACTTCATTAGTTCTCTCCAGTCACTGTACAGATGTATTAAAATACAAAACTAAAGAAACCCCCACAGCCTAAGACACATTTTTATATTAAAACAGTCAGTAGCACTTACGTTTGGTACTTACTATCATATTTGGAATGTAAATCACTGAAGAACTAAAATCCTGTCTGTGTCACTGCTCAGACGGGTTTAGGTGGAGCTAGTCTTGACCTACAGATTACTTTTCTGTGGAAAAGGCAAATGCAGAGCCACCTCTGCATCAGGCAGGGCTGGCACACTGTGTGTTACGCTGCACAAAGGTAAATCCTGTGCCACTTCCTATTAAAAGTGGTGGCTGAAGCTCATGTCTCATTGTCCACAAGGTGGGCAACCTGGAGTAGGTAAAAATAGCCCACGTGTGGCCCAATGTGACAGGCTGTTTGCCATGTAGGCACAAAACCCTTGACAGTTACAGAAAGCATCAAACGTGCTATGTATCAAACGAATGTATCAAACATGCATCTGCCTCACCAGAGAGACCAGATATTGTTGATTTTTTTGTCAAGAAAGGTTGGACCAGTTGATCTTTGAGGTATCTCTCTATCTGGTATTCTATGGTTTAGCAACTTCTAATTGACCACACAGAGAATTAATGGCAGATGCCCATTAGAAGGTTGAATCTTCTTCTGTGGATACACATGCTTTGTTTCACCCTCATCACTGTATCTGAGAGAAGAGTTAGGTCCCTGATTTGGTAGTAACAAACATTCTGTGTTGGTCACAAAACCATCTTTTCCCTTCAGTTTCTAGCCTATTGCTGCAAAAATCTTTAATTACTTGGCATCTAATGGCTTTGCAATCATTGAGTAATTGAACAATGATCACTTTTCTACATTTATTACTATTCCTGAAAACGGTGCTTTGGAAAAACATTACAAACTAAGCAGAAATAGTTTTGAACGTTTATTTGTAGTTAAAAGTACACTGAAGAGTGCAGATCAACAACAGCTCTTTGTTAAAGCCAGTTTAGAGAGTCTTTCCTTGCCCTGGCCACTCACCTCTGCCTCAAAGTCAGTAATCATTATTTCCTCAGTTGTGTGAGCACATTTTGCTTTGAATTGGTATTGTGAACAGGATGGTTAAAATTATCAGAGTAAAAGAAAAATAAAACTCAAAAAAAACCCAAACCAACAAACAAAAAAATGCAACCAACCGAAGACCAAACAAACAAATAACAAACAAACAAAAAAACCCAAACCAAAACGAACCAACACTCCACCAAACCAAAAAATACACCAACAAATAAGTCAAGGCAATAGCAGTTTGTTTTTTTTTTAAAATAATATTCTGGTAATATTGAGTATGGAAACATCTCTATGATGTCTCTCAGAAAAAAAAAAAAAAAAAGGAACTGAATTCTAACTGTGAAAACCATAGTATATTTTAATTTTGACTTATTTCTTCCTAGTTAAACCTGTTCACTCAGTCGAACTCTCGAGTTTTCGAATCACACAGTTTTAACAGCATTCTCAATCAGCCAACACGCTATCAGGTAAGCACTTACAGTGGTCACTGCTTTGAGTAAAAGAACTATGTGAAGGTACTAGTAGAAGTACATTTTGTCTTCTTTAGATAAAGAAAACCTGTAGAAATCAAATTCTAGAATGTTACTGGGAAAAAAAAGATAATTATTTGTCAAGCCCCATTATTTGAAGATTTTAAAAGTAGCCCATACAAAGCTGAGTTTAACGAAGAGCAGACCTATTCTGAAGCTACTTAAAGCCTAAATTAGGTGTGTTTATACATTTTTCTCTTGTCCTGTCCCCTACAAAAAGTTATAGTGCTCTGTGCATAAGAGGTAATTGGATGAGAAAGTGATTTTTTTCTTTTTTTTTTTTTTTTTTGTAATGGTGAAGCTCAGCATGCCACCAAAAAAGCCCTGGTTGATCTGGGGCTGTTCATTGTTTCATTTTACACTGATATGAGGGGTATAGTTAAGAAAGAAAAGTGAATAGCATTTAATTATATGTGCTTACCTGATTATATTACTGTTTTAATCTGGCAGCAAATAATGAAAAGACTGATAAAACGTTATGTTCTGAAAGCACAAGTGGACAAAGAAAACGATGAAGTAAATGAAGGTAAGAAAGAGATGGCATTTGCAATATTCAGAGAGTTTTTGTTGTATTAGGAATCATTACTGTGGTGGATGGAGGTTTCAGGTATCAAACAGGCTTTATTTCTACTTCAAATGCACTGAACTCGGGTAGGTAGTAGTGTAAGTACACCTACCTGTACAGCAAAAACGGACAAGCCCAGCCGAAGAAGTAGAACTCGGAAATATTACGGCCTCGTTTTACAGGTGGGGAAGAAAGAGCACAGACGTGACACGTGTTAGAGAGCAAACTTGTGTGGAAGACACTAACTGTGTTCATACTTGCAAGTCTTTCCAGTTCCCTGCTGCCTGTTTGGTGCTGCAATGTATGTGTTCAGATAGGCAAGATGGTGCAGAAGCATCATAGTTCCTGGTTCTTCCTTTATGATCAATTTTTGTAGAGGAAAGTCCACTCTGACCAAGTCAGCTCACACCTGAACCTCAGTCTTCAGCTCCATAGCAAAGGTGATGCTTTCGGTGTCATGCTCATCTCATTTGTACCTGAAATGTAAATCCAGCCTTTGAAGATAAAACTTTTGAAGTCTGCCATATGCTAAATTGAAAACTTCTGTGTCCTTATGTACTGCATCTATTTTAAACATAAGCCTAGGGATTTTTCCCTCTTTGCATCATGAGAGAATTTACGTCTTGTTTTGTAGTCTCATTTCATGCAAGGCAAATAATTTCTTGTGGTGGCTACTGTGTAAGGATACACATATCCCAGGCTTGCTGGAAGGATAATATGTGAATATTTTAAAAAGCTTTGCTCTTGAACTGAATATCCTATAATGGGAAAGATGCTGTTGCTTGCTACAAGCCTGGCCTCGACAATTGTTTTCTTTCAAATGCGTTTTTTTGTGATTGTGTTGAATTGTTAACATAATTTTAAATTGGTTGACTTTTTCTAATTCAAAGGCTATTGGTAAGGAAGAGGAGAGAGACTCAGCAGCTGTGAGTTTTACTGCCAGCTCTGCCACACTTTTCCTGTGTGATCTTGGCACATCACTTGAGAAAACAATCTCCTTTACCTTTTCCTTCTGAAAGGGGGTTACTAATATTTACCAGCTGTTCAGCAGTGTTGGTGTGATTAATTCATTAACCTCTGTAAAGCACTTTTTGACTCTCTGATGTTCTGTATACACATGGAGCACAACACCAGAGTTCAATTAAAATACTTTGTATACTATTTAGGGGTGGAGACACATCTTGTTGAGAATGAAGATGAGGTAAAGCCTCCTTCCCTACCTCACCACATGAACATTTTGAGATAGTAACCAGAAATACGTGCTGATGTGACTTATCAGTACTGAGTAAACGTTAAACTTGGCTAACGAGTGTTTCTTTCAATCATTAATACAGGTGAACTGAAGGAAATCAAACAGGACATCTCCAGTCTTCGCTACGAACTTCTGGAGGATAAGTCCCAAGCAACAGAAGAGTTAGCAATTTTAATACATAAACTCAGTGAGAAACTAAATCCTAATATGCTGAGATGTGAATGATTAAAGAAAGGAACTGCGGCTTCGATTACAGCACAACTATTTACTGGCAATAATATTTCAGTATCTTATACTTGAAAAATGTATTGTAGATTTTTAGCACTAAATAACTTTATGTACAGCTTCTCTGGAATTTAGTCTTAGGAAATTTTATTAACTCACCACAAAAAAAAATTTGCTCTCTTTGTTTTAATTGTCTAAAAGCAAGAACTATCTTAATTTAATTATCTTAATTTTTTGGTTTTGCATTTATGCATTAAAAGGTGTAACGGTATGAATTGCTGGTATGTTAACAGGTGTGTGAGTACATGTTGAGAATCCTTTGCACTAAATTTGCAAGAAAAATTGTAAATAACAGGTACAGCCCGGGACTGTGTTCCTTGCAGCAACTGGGTACGACTAGGATTTTTTATAATGCCATAAATGGACTAGAGCTGAGTGAGGATTACTTGAGATCTTGTTGTGATTTAAGTTAGTGTGCAAGCAGAAAACTCCTGGTGTCATGACAAGGAATGCATGAAAATCAGGTAAGTGTCAGTACCTGCAGCACTGTTTGACATCTGTGTATATACGGTGTACCCACAACTACTGTTTCTTAACTCAGTGTATTTACTTTGAAGAGGAAAGCCTAGAATTATTTTATTTTTAAAACCCACTGACTTTGGAAGGCCATGCGAACTCGGTCCCAAGCTCCTCTTTCTGTGGTAGAGATGATTTTTTTAAAACCTCGGGCTCCGTGCGGGGCTACCGTTTTGTTACACTGTTCGAAATAACGCCTCCGATGCTTCGTTGTTAAATAAAACATTCCTACTTTACGGATGCTCCGTCCCTGTCGCCCGCCTGCTTCGGCCCCGGCCCC